TATATATATATATATATATATATATACACACACATATATATATATATATATATATATATAATATATATATATATAATATATATAATATATATAATATATATAATATATATATATATATATAAATGTGATTATTGATTATAGATTATATATATATGTTATAACAATCCAGGAATCCTGAAAAAAAATTATGTTGGAAATTTTGTTAGAAAGGATCGTCAATCTGTTCGAGCGTGATGATTGTTCGGCGTGAAGTTAACCAAAAGAATATCACGATTGCGGTCACCGTGAAAATTAATACCCGATGATAAAACGTTGATATTCGCACTTCATTTACGTTTTCACGTCTGAAGTAAGGCAGTTACTGAGTCGAACGCATTTTTTATATATTTATATATATGGTGTATCATGGCTGAAAAAAGAAACCTAAAACTATCCTCTTATATGTTTATTTATTTAACATTATCATTAATCTCTTGGAATCTCTCTACGTTTGACTTTTCGCACTCGCACGCCTCCGTTAGATCAAAGTTATGAGAGACGGCGTACTTTGAGTCACGATGTACGGAGTAGCTAGGTTCGACACGTCGCGAACGCAACGCGCCTAACTTCAGGCGAGAGGCGATAAACGGCGCCGAGTGTACCGCTCGGTCGTGTGCGCATCCCGCGAGGCGCTCGCGAATCCCGTCGATCGCACAATTTTGCATCCTATATTTAACGTGGTGCTTTCGACTCCGGTCCACCGTGACACGATCACGGCCTCGCGTTTCTCAGCTCATTTCGTTTGCCCATCCGTCTGTTCGCTCGCTCGTTCGTTCGTCCGTTCGACCGCGCGCGTGTCCCCCGCGTATCCCGTTCGTCTCGTGACTCGCTTCACGTCGATCGCCACGGTCCTGTTCGCGAAACGCGACGCGCGGAAGTGCGGTGCGGTGTGGTGCGGTGCGGTGTCGTGTCGTGTCCCGGTGCCTCACGGAGAAATGTCAGTGACGTGAACGTGAACGTGTCACGGGGATTGCGTGTGTCTCCCTGCATTTCTTTCCCGAGCGAGAATGTGCGCCAGACGCACACAGACGGTAAGCGATCGAATCCGCCGTCCCGTCCTCGGCGACGTAACGCCGTCCTTTAACCTAATTCCGTACGAGCTCGCCTGTGGTTACTGCGGGAATATTCAATCGATACACTAAAGGAGCACTCGCGCGGCTCCCGTCGAGCGTTCGCTCGCGCGAAAACGCTTTCCGCTTCGTCGTTCACGCATCCGCGACATGTCGCATCACGATCCGATGCACGCGCGTCGTTGATTCGCGACGTCAACAGCTGATCTAATCCTTTGATCGTCGCCCGAATCGCTCGCAAGCTTTACCGTGGCACCCGCCTGTAATAAACCGCGAGAGGAGGGGCGTACAGGTGTACCCGGGGAAATTAAAGTATCTGGTTGTAATCACGCGTACCTTGTACTTTGCACCGAGTATCTCTTCGAGATATAACATCCTTATAACCTAAAAAAAAGAGATAAACTCCAGCCTGTCGCAGACTTCGTTTCGCGAGCTTCCCCTTTTCTCCCCTCCCTTCTTCGCCTCTCTGCCGCTTTACGCTTCGCTTTATTTTTTCTCCAGGATTTCTATACTGTACACATCATTCGATGACTATGTATATTTTCTATTTGGCATCATTTATGTAACATTGATTCTATCATTGCAAAAATTCTTACTTTTGATACTTTTGACAGTGTTTCTCTAGAAAAGAAAAATATATCTGAACAAAGAGATTTTTGCCAAATAGAGATTAAGACGTATATAAAAATGAAGGATAGCTATCAATTTTATAAATAATAAATGATGTAAACATGAAGAATGATACATATATAAGAATTGTGTACCTAATTGGAATTTTTTTAACTCATGGTCAAATATCAGTTTGAGTTTGAAATCAGTAGATGTAGTTTTGTAAAATTTCATTCACACACTAATTATATACTTTTTTATGATTTCAGTCCGTGCCTGACTTTTTCCATTGATGATTGTGGTGGTTTCCCATAGTGGAAACCAAAAACTTCATCCTACGCTACGGTGAGAGTTTTGAGTTGGATTTATTTTGTAAAAATTATGTAGTAATTTCTTAGTTCTTTTACAATTATAGTAAAAGAATTTTTATGAATTCAATTTCCTAAAATTTTTTTATGCAAAATTTCTACACGAAATTGTTGGGAAAAATAGATTAATGCAAAAGCGAGTTATGCTCCTTAAGATTTCTGATTGTTACAAATGTTAAGTTTCATCATTTCTATCTGACTTTTTCGGAGATGACATATTTAATCTAATCTTCATCTGAATGAGTAATGTTAAGCACATGCGAATCATGTGACAAGAGATGATAGGCTCGTACCTTTCTTTCTCTGCGAAATATTATTCTAAAGCTTCGTGAATGTCGCGGCCATCCAGCGGAAGCACCATAGAGCACTGAAAAGACTACATAACTATTGTATCATATCAGCCGAGCATTACCTTAATCTTGGTAGGAGTCGGACGGACTTAGCAACGTACAGTCCGTGCAGAAAACGCTTCGTTACGATCCAACCGAATGTCAGTTCTGTCCACGCGATGTCCACTTCCTCGGGACTCACTCTGCAATTGGATCAACTTGTTTTTTGTCCCGTGACATCTAATCGCAGTTCATGGTTCTCACAATTCACTTTGGACTATGTTAAATAGTTTAAGGCAGATAAAAATTCTCAAATGTATATTATAATATAAAAAAAATGTACGTTTATCAAGTGTATATCAAATTTACATCAAATTGAAGTCTTTTTATCCAAACTTTTTATCAACTTTATATGAAAAACTTATAATTAAATATAAATTATATTTATATAAAATTCTATTCTGTTTATCCGAATTTTTTATTTATCAAATATAACAATCTTGTAAATAAAATGTTATAAGATAAAAAAATGTTACTGTTAAGCACACAAGTAAAGCAAATACTAATATACTTTTTATCTCAATTGCTATGTTTATAGCACGTTACGTCACGTTTCACATTCAGTGTACTACATATGTGCACTATGTATAAAAACTATCTTCCACGTGCAGCATAAATTAAACAAGACTCACACGATGTAATAACGAGGCATTAATCTGTAGATAGAGATGATTTTACGAAAGTTAAGTTCTAAACACGCACCGTTCATATAATTTGTAATAAATGACGCTTCGATTCTATACTGGAAGCGATATGTAAATTGCATTAGTATATATGCAGAATGCATAATTAAGCGTGAAATATATATATATATATATATATATATATATATATATATACAATGTTGTTTAATGTATAATTTTTGCGCCATGTAATTAGTCATACGAGTTCCGTAAAAAAATGAACGTGCAACCTCATATAGGTAGCACAAGTCGATATATAAATCACAGGAAAAGCTAATAAAACTGGTACCAACTGATACAAAATTATTTAACATCACCTTTGATTAACAATCGATATGGATAACAGATCAGACGCGTGATATTTTTTCATCCTGTATCTGCCGCAATCTTCGTATGAATTCGCGTAATCGATGGCGTACGTGCAAAACACATTTCCAAAGAATTAATCTCGCGATCTTATTTCAAAATAATAATGCAATCGTGTTATTCTCTCCTAAAAATAGAGAAAATTCTATATTTTATCTAACGCTCGGAATGTGCACATTTTTTTTTTCGAACTCTTCTCTTTTGCTCTTTCTTGTTTTTGCTTTGTATGCAAAATACAAAACAATCGTTCAAACAAGCGTTTTCCAACAAGATTGTACTGCGTTATCAGCCAGTATTCGTAGATAAGGGGCGCACTCATATTGCTCTTATGTATCGGCGCGATCCTGCAGAACTGATCAAGTTATCCGAGCGAAGGATCGAATTCGCCTTGTCGCGTTTGCGGTTTTTTTACGCTTCGCCGTGTTCGCACATATCTCACGTTCGCGCGAGTTGCAGATTCGACAATTGCGGCCATCAGTTGCTTATCTCTTCGCGAGTCATTCCCTCGCGGCGTCGCGAAATTTTGATGTTTAAATTACGTCAGCGGTACAGTCGGAGGTGCTTCGCACGTGTCGACTAGTGCTCTTCGTTATCGCCGAGAGAGTTGACAAGGAAGACCCTAAACTCTGTTTGCCGAAACACGATAAGCGCTCTTCTGCATTTCCCTCTTTGTTTATTTCTCGCGCTGCGACATCGCGCTGCGGATGCTGCTGCGAGGAATCGCGTTCGCGGAGGCGCGCCGCAATTCGGCGCGGCGTGTCTTCAAGAACCGCGACAATAAGACGCAGGGCAACGGGTGCGAGAGAGACGCCGCATCGTCGGATTTCTCCCACGATGGATCCCTGGCGCGACACGTGCGCACGACGATGATGACTTATCAGCCCGCGGAGGAATCCCTGTCTCCTGCTTTCCTAATCCCTTTCGTAAGTTGCGAGAAATATATACGAATTAACTGAATAGAAAAACTCGAGAGAACTTCAGAGAGAGCTTCAGAGAGCAATGGTGAACTTGAAATGCCTTATCGCGTCGGGCAATTCGAATGTTAGTGTCGCGGACTGTATCGACGAGTCGTCGCACCGCGAAATCTTCGACGATGTCGTAAAACATGAAATTATCGTAATCTTAGATGCGTTGCATTCGTCTAAGAAGAATCTGAATTAAGAAGAGTCGCGGTTGCCTTTACTTCATGTCGCAATTGCTCGCTCATTATTACACGGAGAGAACACTTTTACTGGCAAATCTAAAAACTTGGTTAGATATAGAGCTTTGTTCGGTCACCAAAATTATTATGTAGGACTTAAACGTAACTGCACAAAATTTTGATCTTCTAACAACCAATTTGAACGTTGTATATAATAAATTTCAAAGATCCAATAAAATTATTTTCGGATCGACATCTGGATCGCCAAATTTTTAGATTTGCCAGCAAAAGTGTTTTTTTCCACACACGATTATATGACAAATGTGGAATTTCCATTTAGTACCATATGTCGAAATAACGTGGACCGGTTTATCCTTTATTCTGAGGCTTGCTCTAAAAGCTATCGACTGACTTTTCCGAATCAGGAATCAGGAAAATTCAGTGATTCGATATTGATTGTCTAGAATATAATGCGCAATGTTCATATAATCGAGCAATATGGATTTGAGAAATAAAGATACGTTCGTGACCACAAAAGGGAGACTTTTAAACGCTTTATTTGCTATCACTTAGCAAATTTACCGCAGCTATGTTTTGATCTTTTTAATATTTGTTTCATCTCCCGAGAGTAGATATTTGACCGCTTAAAGTAATTGCCGTTGAAAAAATTAAATTAACTTTTTAATTTTATCCTATTTTTCTTCACCTTTTTTAAATTTTTGTTTTTATTTATTCTTATCGAAATTAAAGGAGCTACATTATTAATGATTGATGATTATAATGATGAAATTATTAAAATAATGATCACAATCCATGATTAGATTCGTGATTAGAAAATAATAGATTATAATTTATATTTATATGCAAAAACTCGTTTTCGGTATTTTCGTATTTTACTTTTTTTACACGTCATGTGCATTAGTGGCTCTCGTTCAATCATTTATCGTTCCATGCAAATTTTCTACAAAAATACCAACCGGAGATACTCACTGGAGATCGATTATCTGTCTTATGACATTTTCACCGTTCTCCTTCGCGTATGGCACATGACGGCATTAAAATATAGCATTGTTTCTCGTAACCTTGCGCCGCGTTGCGTAGCCAAGACCGTCGAGAGGATCGGAAAGTGAAATTGACAACGAAACGCTAACGAGCCTTGACTGGCGCGTCGAGGGAAATGTGCAAAACGCGTTTCAGGCCACCTCCGGTCACGCAGTTGCACCGATTTGACTATGACGTTAAGATCCGCTCATATAAATATCATCCGAAAATTTTACGTAATGGCTCTGTTTATCCTTCGAGATGTTGTCGTTGATGCCACCGCGCAAATTGAGGTGAAACTCGACGTGAAATTAAAGTCCGCGAAATATCTCGATTTTTAACGATAACGATGCATATGTGTTGACGGATGTAACAATGATGATCGATAATGAAAACGACGTATATGTGTGCGACGTATATGTATTCTTGTTTTATCGCTTACATTGATATAGCATCGGCGATAACGAAAACGGCAAAATTTCCGCAAGGAATTGTTAGAATTGACAATATCCGATTTCCTACAAGCGCAAAACTAATCGCTTTTTTATCGCGATATTGATTTTAATAATTTTTCGTCAAGCGTTTAATTTTAAATCTTAAAATTATAGAGTTATCTTAAGAATTTCTGTTGCATATTTAACTTTATAATTTTATAAATTTAAAATTGACCTTTTGCATTGACGGAG